ATCAAATTATAAATCAGCATAAGCGCTATTGCTCTGAAAGCGACGATCTGTAGAAACATCCAAGTATTGCTGGGAGCAATACTTTGCAGGAAGGCACTCAGCACAGATGAAAAACACTCAAATATATGGTCATCGTCTCGTCTCTCCATAGGATGTAGCAGTACTCTGGGAATTAAGAAAGGAACTTCATGGTGCAGTACGTTTAAGACCACATAGTTTATTAAAATAAGATAACACACTCACAAGAATGGTGTCCTAGCCGACACCAGCAATAACAACCTTCAATAAAAAGATGAGCCCCACTTACGTTCTTGGGGAACGTCCTGATGTCACATCCATTAAGTCCCGCCCTGCGCGTTTTGTCACTCGACGTTCTTACGGAGCGGAATGAGCAGGGCTCGTCTTTTTATTGAAGGCTGTTATTGCTTTATGATGTGAGTTCAAAAATTTTTTTAGTTTTTATTTTTTGCATATTTTGACATATTTGATATTATTTAAGTGCATTCCTATGTTTATGTGTGACAAGTGCAACAAACTGCTGTACATTCCTAGATTGTAAGCTCCAAGGAGCAGGGCCCTCCTATCCCTCTTGTATTGAACTGTATTGTTGCTGTATTGTCTCCCTTTATACTGTAAAGCGCTGAGCAAACTATTGGTGCTATATAAATCCTGTATAATAATAATACATCCTTTGGCAGAGAAGGATGCAGTGGTTCCTGGTAAGATATCTTGGCTTACATGATCTTCCGTGGCAGACCAGAAGAGTTTGCAGCCATTTCAGGTGATTTTTCCTAGCCTATGTTCGACTGGGTGAAATTAAGCATGAACTTCATCCACCCACAAACTGCCCCAGAGATGTCATGCTTGGCAATATGGCAGCAGCAGCACATGCATCAGTGGGCCATACATGGTTTATCTGTGTGAGTATGGCATGAAGACAGGTTCAGGAGAGCTGGAGTATTATCAGTGGCTCCTCATTCAGGACTCTTACTGTATTTTCATTATTTGACAAATAATGAGCCCATGGACAATGCTGGCATCAGTGTCTTCTGTAGTGTTCCTGCTGGAGTACACACTGTGTGATATAATAAATCAGGCACTTGAGGCACAGAAGCAGGAGGAAGAGGAAGACTTCCTGGTTTTTTCAGACCCTCTTTATCCAGACTCTTTCCCTGTGAGGCCACAGCGGGTCCAGAAGAAATATGAGGGGAACAGTATCAATGTTGTAGAGGTGTTGAGAAGGAGAATGTGGAACAGACTTCCAGTGGTGGGTTTCATCCCTCACAAACCCTGGGACTTGTACATGGTTGAGGGGAACAATGTTGTCCTCAGTGACCTCTAGGACTTGGGTTCCTCTGCCTCCGATAATTAGTAGCAGATGAGTTCCAGTGCCTGTGAAAGAAATACAGGATGCGTGACATCAGGGAGAGAGACCAGTATTGCTTCTCCATCTGCCTGGATCCACATTATAAGGGGAAATTTGCAGATCTCATCTTGCCCTCACAGAAGAAGCAAAAGATGAAACACCTGGAGAACATGCTGTGGAAGTTCCTGTTAACTCCTTTCCAGAACCTAAGAAAGGTTTTCAATACATTCTTCTGTACCTATCACCAAGGGCTGTCTGCTGCCAGCAACTATAGGCAGTATTATATATGGTTATATCGTGGCTGATCACAATGGGTCAGGGGCAGATGCTGACACCCTTCCAATGGATGATCCCTTTGAGTATTGGGTAACAAGGCTGAAGCACTGGCCAGTGCTTGCCCAAAATTTAATTGAGCTGTTGGGCTCCCCTGCAACCAGCGTGCTTTCTGAATGTTGTAGGGGGCATTGTTAAAGAAAAAAAAATCTATCTGTCCCTAGACTCAGTTGACTAGCTGTCCATTGTAAACAAGAAACAGCCTGAATGTACGATAACTATCAAGCCCCTGCTGCAAATGCTACAGACTAAAATTTGTTTTTGGATATCGGACCAAAAAATATTGTTTTAGTGGACAGCCTCTCCTTTCACAGCTGCAGGCCTGAAAACAAAAATACCATCTCCTGCCACTATTAACAACTTGTGCCCCCATGAGCACACCCTGCCAACATTAACACCTTTCTATACTGTTGCTTTATCTACTGCTACTATAGACCCACCACCACTACCACCTCATACTGGTTCCAATGCTGTAGTTTGTCACAAAGGCACTTTTAATTTGGCACACCTAATTTTTCTGCAGATGTTACCCAGTTACAAAAAATAACATTTCTTGCCAGGGTTCATCCTGTACATTTCATGAATATGTGTGTTGAGTTACTATATTTAAATAGGCTTAAAAAGTGGGAGAGCCAATCTGTAAAATTAGTTTGCCTAAAATGTTTAAAAAAATTCAGATGCAAACTGCCTGGTCAGTCCCTCAGAAAAAGCAGACTATCCAAAAGGTGTACTTGAAATCAATAAAAAAAATTTGTACTAATTTAAAAAATAAAAATATCATATTTTTTTAAATCCTAGATGCAGTCTGTCTGCTCTTTTTACTTCAAAACTATTGGCTTGTCCAAAAGGATTTAAAATCTGTGCAGCAAATCTGTAAACTTTATTCTTCAGTCTGTGAAAAAGGAACCCAATGTTTTATAGCAAGGTGCACTATGCTCCTTCTCTCTATCATAAGTTGCATCCTATCCAATCAAGGATAATAGGGATGCCACTAAAAGGGAGTTTTCTATCTCTCCCCCTTTCCCTATCTCTACAATAAGTAGCAAAAAGAAAAACTTTTGGCATTTTTGCCTGTTTGGTCATGTGATCACTATCAAACAACAGTAGTCTACATCTGGCAGTTGATGTGTTTAGTTCCTAACACCATTGATGGTGGCACATATTTCATACTGAAATGGAGTGCAGGGTAAAGTGTTATGCACTTAGAGAATCTTCCATTGTAGTTCCCCTAAACCAAACCGCCACAATATGTCCCCACATGCTGGTGATCAGCGTTTGCAAACTGCACAGTCACTGGGATAGAAACCCTCTGATTTAACTGTTTCACAAAACAGTTACGTTCAAGGTATTATTGATACCTATCACAGTTGCTTGTGCTCTCAACCGAAGTGTCATTCCATTATTGGTTCATGACATAACTGATTACATGTGCAGCACCATGGCAACAGCAGATCAAACAGAGGCTAAAACGGCAGATTCCTTGACTGTAAAGGATTTATTCCTGCTTTAAACTGTTACCCTGCCTCAGTTTGCTTGACAACCATCCCATGCCAGACTAGGATGCTCCTGGAAGGCTATATGGTAAGATAGTTAGTTAGTGAGTTAATTAGTGCCTGGTGAGGACTGCTGTGACTAAGATGCATCACTTTCTAACGCTTTCTAATGTAGGACCTGCCTTCAAGGAATGATACCGGGAAGCCATTATATGTGTGTGTGTGTGTGTGTGTGTGTGGGGGGGGGGGGGGGGTGCATGGACTTCTCCCATAGGGGAGGTAAGAATGATTGCATTCCTCTTTTAGAAGAATGGTGGGACATTTTTTTAACTCACTCCTCTAGACACCTCTCTCTATGCGCTATTAAAGATATTTGCAGCTCGTTCATGTGTGGTGCTGCCATTACCTTGTTTGGCTCTTCGTACATATGACCTTCTTTATAAAACCATGTTTGTTACATTGAGAACCTGGCGTGAACCTATTATTCTGTAGCACCTTCCTAGTCAGCTAGGGGGAACTAGACTCCAATTGTAAGTGAGGAGGAATGAGTAGCAGCCTGGGTGTGATAGCTAGCAGGGGTCAAATTATGGTCAGACCTGAGAAGCTCTGCAGACCAGCCCTCTGGAATTTCCCCCTGCTCTAGAACTTTGGAGGAAAATCTAGAAGCAGTTGGTGGATCTGAGGAGTAGCTTATCTGGACTTTTGAGGGATCCTGGCCAATCTCCAACAGGTGGTTTGGCAAGGTGCCAGGACAGCCCTTAAACGTGAGAGAGCCTTCTCAGCTTGGGTGGAAGTTGGAGATGAAGTGAGGCTGAATAGAGGAGCCTGGGAGGGGGCCCAGATGGAGAGGAGCTCACCTACAGGCAGTGGAGCTTGGAAGGAGGAAAGCTCAGACCTAAACTGACCCCCAGAGTGAGGACCACCTGTGTAGCAGGGAAGGAGCGGCCCAGCTAGAAGGCCTGGCAGCAGCCACTAACCCACCAGCTGCACAGAAGGAGTGAGTAAACCTGCACCCCCTGGGCCAGAAAGAGGAAGGAGGCACTCTAGTGGGAAGCTGGATTAGCCTGCCACCCAGGACTGTTTCACTAAATTTGTGGTACACACCGGAACACCTGCTCATTCCTCTAGACAGCTGAGTAAATAAGAGGATTTGTCTGGGGTGGTACTACAGGAGATGCTGGCTAGCTCTCCAAAAGAGACTGTTTTGCTTTGAAGACTTTAAATAGTTCCAGGACGTTGTCCTTGGTTTCTCGGTTCCATTGGGCATCCCATACATCTCTTACCCCACCCAAGTTATTAACCCCTTTAATTAAAAAAAAAAAAAACAAGTTCAAGGACTGGTTATTGACTGCAGGATGCAAGTTGTTGAAAATGAGTGTTGCCTGGCAATGCAGGACTATAGAGGGGACCCAAATACTCAGCAACTACTTAGGGGGTATTGCTACAATGCTATACCATGAGGGACTACTGTTGGGCATGGATCTATGCTGGGAATATCAGCGGAAGCAGCACTATGGAGGAAGCAGAACAGGCTTGAAGGTGTAAGCTGTACTCAGACTATATCAGGCTGGGCTACCTCCAGGATTCCTAATGAGTGCTGTCCTTCTGTTCTGCTCCATCTACTGTGGGGACCCCGGGGAGCCCTAGTCTAAAAGGACTACAAGTTGCCACGTGTGTGCGCAAGATAGATAAAAGAGTTAAAGTGTTACCCACAACAGTAAAATCAGTCTGTATATGCAGTAAAGCATGCTTGTTATACTCACTGTGGAACCTAAGGGGTTAATGCTCTGCATTGTGTAAAAACTCTGTTTGTTCCTGACTTCTATGATCTTCCCCTGCTTCCAGTGTCCCCCTATTATCTCCTGATAAGACATATCGTGTGGAGACACTGCACATGCTCAATTTGGTGTGTATTGCTAGGTTTTTTTTTCCTTAGGAGAGTGCATGTGATCAGCACAGCGCCAATCAGCACTGTCCAGACAGAGGTCAGGGGTTCTCTATCCTCCTACAAGCTTTAGCCAGTGCTCTGCTGAACACTGATAGAAGTCACAAAACTGCTCTAACTGCTGATGAGAAAAGGTATTTAGCAGTTTATATTTACTAAAATAATTAAATTTCCATGTTCTGTGTACTGTGGGAGATCAGATGTAGTGAATGTAGGGTCCTGGTTAGCAACACTTTAATGTAGAACTATAGGCAAAACTTTTTTTTTTCCATGTTAGATAGTGTAATGGAGGGTTAGAACCCCTGTAAGGTTTATTTTTGTGCTCTTTGGCCCATTGGGGAGATTTATTTTCACTTCTTGTTCCACAGTGAAAAACAGTAAGTGAGAGGAAATCCCTGAAAATAAAAGGAATCACTTGGGGACCCCCAGGTCACCAGAACTAGTGTCCCCATTGGAAGACTTCCCCTCTATTACTTTTGTGGTGACAACCCAAAATTTGGGATTTTCTTTTACTTTCACTTTCAATGATAATGGTAAACAAAACAAACTGAAAAGGTGAATCTCCCTAATGTGGGCACAGACAGCAATAAAACTGACAGGGGTTCTAATCTCTCTCCACTCTATCCAAAACTAAAAAAAAAAGTTTTGCCTTTAGTTATACTTTAACTGATCACTCGATGACTCCGGCGAAGCTACCATTGAGAGCTCTCTGGTGTGGAAATGCACTTCAGTTAGGTTGTAGATCTATAATGGCTTAACACCCATAGGATATGTAACCCAAACTTGTTTCCTCCTGTTGCCAAAAACTGTGAAAATTGCAGCTGAGGGTTAAAAAGAAGTCTAAATTGTTATAGATGGAAGTTTAGAACTATATATGATTCTGGAAAATAAATCAATGTCTTTTCTAATTATGAAGGCAGATTAATCATTTTAGTATATTTTAAAGTAACAGCAGTCTCTTGGCTCATCACTTAAAGTGATATGAATCACCTCAAGTCCCAGAACATCTACTGGAAGGGGAATTTAAAAGTAGACTTCTCTGTACTTTGTTTTCTGTTATTTCAGAAATTATGCAGTTGATCCTATGAGATGACAAAATCTATTCTGCACACATTGTATAGAGTAAAGCTGTACTACATTCTATTTTATCACCTCTCAAGGTTTAATTTTTTACAACTAAAGACTGTTGAATTATAGGTAAACAATATGAAATATGCTGGAATAAAAAAATAGACTAGATCACCTGCTAAATCATCTATGTGATAAAAATCTTTTAAAGGATATTTACACTGGATTTTGAGTACACAAATTCCCAGGGAGACCTCATTAAGACATACAGGAGGCGACCAGAAAGTAATATTTTTTTCCTTTTTCCTTCCTACATTCTGGGTTTTTTTGTTGTTTAATTAGTGTTTTTTTTTATTTTGGGGATTAGGGGCTTTCAGATAAGCAGATGTCACGTTTTCAGGCATGGTCCACTTTCAAAGTGCAACTTATCATAATAATATATATATTATATATATATATATATATATATAATAATAAAAATACCAAACCTGTAAACAAAATACTTACCTTTCTGGCAGCCCATGTGTTGAAATGTCACTGCCTCACTGCTGCTCGGCTGCTGTAAGTATTCGATCCTTTGATTTAAATCTTTCCACTAGCTCTAACTAGCGTTTTTTTTTTTTTTTGCAAAAAGTTTTTATTAAGAGGAAATATAGAATATACAAAAACACTTACAGAAATCAGACTTTGGGTTACAAAGAGTGCCTTATCAAGTAAGATCAGACATATAACTGGTGCACAAAAACAAAAATGGTCTCGCCTCCAAAGGTAAGAAGCTCTAGCTAGCATTAATGACATGTATGTAGACTGAGGTGTAGAATTCAATGGCTGGGGAAAAGCAACGTGGTGACGTTTTAGAACACTGACCGCAAAAAAGGTAAGTATGTTGCCTCTTCTTTTACAGGCTTGGTAATGTGTTTGTGATGACATGATCACATGAGACAAACTGAATGCAATTTCTGACATTAGTATAGTTTCTGTGTTTCCTTCATACCATCAGCAGTTTTCTAATTGGAATAATTTGTTTCCCAAGTTTGCTTTTTAAACAAAGTTGTAAATTGTTTTCCTTGATATACAGATGACTACTATACAAAGCAAACGTAATAATCAAAATAAAGAAACCCTCATGACTACAAACGTGAAAATGTGTGCCTATCCAGCCAAAAGAACATTTGTGAAGTAAGGTACTGATGTTAGACAACACTTGGCTTATAACCAGTGTTCCAGTTCATCCCAAAAGTGTTCAGTAGGGTCGGTCAAGATTCCACACTAAACTGGTCAAACCATATGAACCTGGCTTTGTGTACAGAGGCCTAATCATGCTGTAACATACTTCTGTCACAACAATGGAATGTTTTTTGTATTGTATGCTGTTACATTAACGTAACCATTTATTAGAAACACTTCACAGTTCTGTTTTGTCACCACACAATATACAATGTTTTGTAGACTTCATTAATATAACTAACAAGAAAAAGATAAATGTTGGAATACGATGTTCATGTATTTTTTATGCAACAACTACACCAACAGTATTCAGTAGAGATATATTCTTCAACCACTAGATGGCAGTGTTTATAAGTTTGTAGCTGCATCTAAGATAAACTCTATGTCGTTTCTCTGAATAAAGTTCCTGTTTCCTGCGTTAGCCAGGGGGAGCTAGCTAGGTTTTTTTTTTAGTTAGAGGCTGGATAGCAGCCTGGGATGAGTCAGCCAGGTTAATTTTAGGTCAAGGCTGAGTGCTCTTCAGGTCAGTTCCCTGATACCTGTCCCTGCTGTAGAAGTTTCTAGAAGACAGAGGGTGAAGGGTGAGGGGGGGGCTGATCTGTACACTCAAGGGACTCTGACCAATCCCCAAGCAGGAGGCTTGGCATGGGGTCTGGACAATCCTTAAGTATAAGACAACCTGATCAGGACGTGGTCAGTGCCATGAGGAAGATGGAGTGAGAGGCTGGAGTTTAGAGCCTGGGCCCAGGGAGCTGGACAGGAGGATCTCTCTACCTCAACCATTCCCTGAGAGAGGACAGCCTGGAAAGCAGGGAAGGAGCCAGCCCAGCATAAGGCAGCCACCAACCCCACAAGCTTACAGGAGAGGCAGAGTGAGTAATCCTACATCCCCTGGGCCAGATAAGGGGAAAGGGCAGTCAAACCCAACTAGCTTCTCATCTGGGGCTGCTTTGTCAAGTAGAAGTTTCTGGGTCTCCTTGCCCAGGGATACACTTAAGCAGTTGAGTTAAGAGGAGGATTCATCTGGAGTCTGAGGTGGTACATCAGAAGGGCTGGAGAGCTTCTCAAAGGAGATACTGTACAATCTTTCTTTTTGCCCACAGACTTGTACTGTACATAGTTGCTAAGTAGTTGTCCTCATGGTACACAGTCCCCTTTGGCATCCCATACACACCAAAACCCCATCCAAGTTCAATACACTGTTTACTGTCTCCAGCTTGCAAGTTTGGAGGAAAAAGCATGTTGCCTGGCTGTGCAGGACAATAGGGGGACCCAAAAACTCAGTGACTCCTAAGAGGTAGTGCTACACCTGTTTGCAGAGAAGCAGCAGATATACACCCAGGGGGCTGTGCACTGCCTGTTCTGTAAGGTTTTATAAAGAATTTATAACAATAAATGTTGTAGTTGCACACCTTCAGTGTACAAAATGTAGCATCTTTTAAAACTGTGCATGCATTTGTTGGTGGTCAGAGGAATACGTATCCACTGAGGGTGTTAACTCACACTTAAATGAATATTACAGAATAAAAATAGAAGCAAAAAGAGGAAAATATTTAATTCCAAAATACTGTGCTTTTTCCTTAGATACTTAAACAACCTAACATGGTCATTGTACCTGAATTTAATTTAAGACAAACTATCTAAAGAAACTAGACATTTAGGGTTACAACGCTTCATATGCATGAATAGATTTTGATGTTTTTATATACACTCACCAGCCACTTTATTAGGTACACCTGTTCAATTGCTGGGTAGTTGTGAGGGACCGCCGAGCGGCACCACTAGCACTCCACTGGTCAGGCGTGCCCAGAGCGCGGAGTCTAAGCCCCAGGGTACTTGTTCACCAGGGCCCCTGATGGTGGGGATGGACTTTGTAGTACCCCGAGACCAGGTCGCCTCTACTGAGCACACCTGTCAGTGGTAGTGGTGTTCGCCAGGGGCTCCAACCAGGGAGAGCCAGATGTGAGGAGGTCGGGTGACCCCGATGGGATGGAAGGATGGATGGCTGAGCAAGTGCGTAGTCACACAGGCCGAGTCGGTATTGTAGAGGACGGTAAGGTACAAGGGAGCAGGCAGAGAATCGTCGGGTCACACGCCAGGTCAGCAGCAGGAGGTCAGATCTAATAAGGGGCATCCAGGGGGAGAGAGGTCAGGCAAGCAAGGATCTGGGCAGGAGAAATCAGCAAGGTCAAAGGCAATCCGGGTCAATAACTTACTAGGCACAGGTACAGGAACACAGGAAGCAGGTAAGACCAGAAGGCAACGAAATGAGAGCTCAGGGACCTTTAAATATCCTGCCCTGCGCTGCCATTGGTGCCCAGCGGGCGGCCGCGGCTTCTACTGCGCATGCGCGAACTCGAACGCCGCGGCCGGCCCGGACCTAGTGCCCGTGTACTAGGGTGGAGCCAGTGTGCCTAGGCGCCGAGCCCATCGCGGCGGGGATCGAGGAGATCCCTGACAGTAGTACAACTTGCTAATCAGCCAATCACATGGCAGCAACTCAATGCACTTATGCATCTAGACTTGGTGAAGATCACTTGCTGAAGTTCAAACTGAGCATCAGAATGGAGAATAAAGGGGATTTAAATGACTTTGCACATGGCATGGTTGTTAGTGCCAGACAGGCTTTTCTGAGTATTTCAAAAACTGCTGATCTACTGGGATTTTCAT